AATTTTTAAAATGTTTTAACGAATACCTATTGTTAAAAAAATATGTGATCAACAACAAAAATCGGACAGTTAAAAGGTAAAAAGATAGGGAACACGCATTTAGGTAAAAAAAAAAAAAAAAGAATATAAAAATAACACATGACAATGTAAAATGTGACAGTCCCGACATTATGAGTCAATTTTAAGAGGCAGAATATTTATATGAATTGAACTTTCGAAGTCAGTTTCTTTCAAGTTTAATTACCCATGACATCTCTTATTACCCAACAAATAAACATGTTTTAAGATTCAGACTCAGGTTCATGAATTGATTAATTATATACGCATATATATATATATATTTTTGCTAAACAGCGGCAAACCTATTTAGATGATTTTGTTTTTTACATTAAAGATCTACATTATATTTACCCTTTGCATTATGGGCACATAGTGAGCCATGGCCTCCTGGTTAAACACCCTCTGTAGAGCCCTTCTCTTTGTTCTGTGGAGTTCACCTATCGACATGGAGACAGAATCGTGGCCCAGCAGCATGCGGACACTGGTGGGCCAGTAAGCCGTCACCAGGTCGTTCTCGTTCATCAGGATCTTCTTCACGTTCGCCGCCCCGACCACTCGGACGACGGGCAGCCCGAGGATGTGGGTTTTATAAACCATGCCGTGACGTCGTAGCCGGCTCGTGTAGAACTCACTGCCCTGGTTGGGATAGAAATTGTCAGCGGCTGTTGGTTGTTTTGTTTTGAAGTTATCCGAACTTAAAATGAGTCGATGTATAATTTCTTGTTTAGGTCTACCTTTGAACTACAAAATCGATATCCATCCACCACGCCACCCACCCACCACGCCACGCCACCCCACCGCTCCACCCCGCCGCTCCACCCCACCGCTCCACCCCACCGCTCCACCCACCACTCCACCCACCACTCCACCCACCACTCCACCCACCACTCCACCCACCACTCCACATGTATTGCTTATGTTGGTTATAATAAATCTCCAATAGCGTCCCGGAGCGAAGGCCCCCTTCGCCCCACCCCCTTCCATTGGTACGCCCCTGCAAACCAATTAACATTAACATCAAGGTAAAATTTACACCAGCCAATTTTGTAAATATAAATACGTACCTTGTAGATCAACGACAGGGTTTCTCCTATAAGTGGGAGCCCCATCGAGCCAGGGGGTAAGGGCAGATTGACCCGGGGGCGGGCACTGGCATTGACCCAGATGAGTCGCCTCGCGTAGAACAGCAGGGCGGGTAGGACAGCCTTGATGATCAGCAAGATGGTGATGGGGAGGCGTATGGTGCTGTGGGGCAATAGAGATGGTATACAATCAAAAGAGAGGTCGTGAAGATCAGTGCCCGCAACCTTTTTTCCTCCCATGGCAAATCTTGTATGTAGGCTCTTCCCAGAATTTTTCGAGCCATACCAACATAAAAATTGACACCCTCTAAAGTTTTTTTTTTCTTCTTGATTGGAAATAGATGTTTCATATTTAATTCAATATTTGATGAAGCCAGTCAAAGTCGCCCCCCCCCCTCAACCCCCCTAGAGCTTTACCAAGCTAGACCTCTTATTACATATATATATATATATTTAGTTGGGTGAAGTTAGAAAATGCAAAAATGGTAATAGATGACATTCTACTGCCAGTTATTTCTATTAATTTTTTCTTTGGTATTTTTTCTTAAGCTGTGACGGGATTGAGTTAGCCAAAGTAGAGGAGA